ATTTTGCGCCCAGGGCAACTGCCCCTGGAGCCCCCCCCCCATGCTACACCACTGTGTGCATAGTTCTAACCCACCCTGAGAAACTATTATTATCAATAGTATTATCAAAAGTTTAGTTTCCCTTGACATTCTCAAGACTGCGTTCCTGGGCATTTGGGCAATGCCAATGATTGGATGCCTTTATTTTATGAAGGCTATGCAATGGCTCCAGCCAAATCCTGAATTAAATCAGGGTGTTTCGGGTCAACCTGGGATTCACCTAGTGTGGTTGAGGCAAACCTGTACCAACCTAGTTTAGAATAGGTCCACCTAGAGCAAAGTGCACACTGATTTAGGGGCAGACTTTGGTAATCTTTCATAAAATGGTGTCCTGTGCGAAGCCAAAATATGGCGTCCCCAAATGGATCTTCTCAATTATAGATCTTCTCAATTTTTTTGGCCCCTCGGCTCAGTGCCCTGTGTGGGGGAACAACCCGCACCACTCTAAATCCAGTGCTGCTTTCCTGGAAGTTACAGCACAGATTAAAGCAAGTACATTGAAACATATGGTACATAACAGTGAGTTCAAACCTATTGAGAGGGGTACCATTGCGGCCACCAGCTGCCGCCCCCCGGACACGTGCCAGACATCCCACCACCACGCTGGGTGCCAGGCCCCCGCAGGTGGTGTACCACGCCCCCATGACAGACACCACACCCCCACGGGTGACATGCCATGCCCCCGGGATGCACGCCAGCCATGCCCCCGCCTGCTCCCCCCCCCCCAGTGCCAGAGCATGAAGCTTCACCACTGCTCTGACCCAAGGCATTTTGGCACCTGAGACAGATTGCAACATTACCATGGGCAAAGCCAGAGGGCACCGATATTGGGATCTGCTGCCCCAGTGGATCCTGCCACCTGATATGGTTCCTTCACATTGCTTCATGGGTGTGCTGGCCTTGCCGGCCAACCTCTGACACACACAAAAGCATTCTGTGGAATAAAAACAAATTACAATGGCAAATATAATTAAAACCAGTGGAGAATCAATTCATTGAAGTTCCTAAAAGAATCAGAGCCCTGGATTTTTATGACTTAGCTAACATGCTTTGGCTCAGCTTAATAACAGAGACTTGCCAGATCCATTGTTTGACAAGCAGCAATACGGACTCTCAAAATATAGAAGGATAAGGACTTCATCCTTTTGTAAAAGTGCTCTGTCATTTTCTACTCATCCTTCACAAAGTGAATATGGTGTGATCTTAAATGTTGTTAAATCATTTGCTTTCTGAGGTGTGTGGGTGACCGTATAGCCCCCTCCCCATGTTGTTGGCTTCTAGCTCCCATCTGCCCCATCTAATGTGTTCACTGCTCAGTGATGATATAGTCCTACTATATCAGGAGGGCCATGGGTTCTACACCCTAGTACTAAGACAGGGGTGGAAAAACTTTTCAGCCTGAGGAACACATTCCCTTCAGGGCAATGTGATGGGAGCCACATCCAAGACAAACTGTGCAGTGGATCTCAAGGCTCGGAAACTTACAGGAAGCAGATGGAGGTTCTTCCTGAATTCAGCAGACATACTCATCTGTTTCTAGTGTTGCCTTTGCCTCTTACCTGATATTACCCAAGGGTTCTTTTTCTTAACTCTCATATCTTCTGATTTTCCTTCCAACAGCAAGTGGTCCAGAATCCATCAGCAAAAAATGCTAGCAGGGTCATGTTACACCTAAGCTGTGAGGGCTGCACCAGTTTAACAGGTTCGTTCCTGGGTGCAATTCATCATGTTGAGGATAACCCAAATGGCTTAGCTCCTTCTCCAAAATAGCTTAGGAAGCATAGACACCAGCTGACTTGCAGACTTGGGTCTAATTTTTGCTAGCTGCCCTGAGCAGCGGTGTACAATCTTTTTTTTTTTAGTAAAAAAAAATTTCATTTTAATACATCACACACAAAAAAGACATATAGAAATAAACAAATATCCATCACCTCCTAGCAACTAAAAAGGGAGAAAAAAAGGAAACAACAACAACAGCAGTGTACAATCTAAAAGAAAACAATATATCATTAAAGCAAAAACACTGAAGCTAAATTCCATAAAGCAGCAATATAAAATAAACATAATTTTAAAAAGCAAATAAAAAGGGAATTTTGACAATTCAGAGACTGAGGGGGGGGGGGCACAACTGGTGGTTTCTACTTCATGAATGGCAAAGGTGCTGTGTTCTACAATTCAGCAGCAACAGCAGAAAATGCTTGTTTTCAGGTGACCAGCCTTTGTAGGGTTCAGTTCCAAAAATATAATTTTCCAAGATGATCTAAGTGATTTTACAGGTCTATACATGGGCAGGCAGTCTTTCAGGTAACCTGGTCCCAGGTTATATGGCACACTGCTAAAATACAACGTGATTTTATTAAGAAAATGACTAAATAAAACTAATTCAAATTTATATGCCTTCTAGAATATAGAATATACATAACTCATATACAATATAACTCATCCTCATCATTAACATTTGTCTTGCATTTCCTCAAAAGAGCTCACACACTAGTACATGGATCCTTCTCTCCCTATTTCATCTGCACAACAACCCTGTGAGGTAGGTTAGACTGAGAGATAATAACCAACCAAATATCATTTAGCTTTGGTGTGTCTACATGTACAAAATCGAATGTGATTTTATTCAGAATCCTCCATAAATCAAAGAACTTCCATTTAAATACCTTAGAATACTTGCATATAGGTATTTTGCACAGACATTCGCTCCTACAAGGCACCATCAAAGTGGACTCTCCCACCTCCTAACTGCAATATTCCTGGCTACAGGCTTTCGTGTTCTGACTTGTCCCCTTGGAAATGACAAATACCCCACACTGGACAATCAAACACAGTGGTACCTCGGGTTAAATACTTAATTCGTTCCGGAAGTCCGTTCTTAACCTGAAACTGTTCTTAACCTGAAGCACCACTTTAGCTAATGGGGCCTCCTGCTGCTGCCGTGCTGCCGGAACCCGATTTCTGTTCTTATCCTGAAGCAAAGTTCTTAACATGAAGCACTATTTCTGGGTTAGCGTAGTCTGTAACCTGAAGCGTATGTAACCCAAGGCACCACTGTAATTTTGTTCCGTCGTTGCTTTGGTGCATATTACTACTGAGACTAATAAGATCAAGTGACTAGGCACACTCAGTGGGGAAAGAGGCAGCTGTCGTATGACAACAGTGCTCCTCAGAGATAGACGTGGACTACATGTTATAACTTAGAAAACATGAAGGTGATGTGCAGTGCTTTTTGGAGATGCTCCTGCAAACTCATGCTTTGCCTGTGCGCACAAATGTGTAACTCTGGGGCCTCCTTCCCTTGCGCAACAGTAACTACCCTTGAGGGAGCTTGTCATTTCTTTCCTGATCTCGTCCTCTCTCTCTCTCCTCCTCTCTTTAAAGGTAAAGCGAAGACGCCTGCCACCTCTGCAAAAAACGAATTACTTCTGTGAATTTTAATCAGGACATCCTTTTCTGTAATTCATGAGCTAGATGCTAATCAGCCTTTGAGTCATACTTGGGATAGATGATTCAGGGTGGTACAGCTTACTGGCAGGAAGACTGAGGAATAAAACTTGTAAATGTGAGGTGCTGTTGCTGAAAGTGATTCAAGGAGTGACATTCATCATTTGCAGTCATCCATGCTTTAGGTGCACAGCTGCACTTTGCTCTCGCTAACAGCTCAAAGATCTGGCCTGGAAGTAGTTCCTCCAGGAAGATGAACTCAAGAAAAAGATGAGACTGTCTTACCCTCTGACATTTCTCTGCTGAAAATAGGGATGCCCTATTCCATCATAATAATAATTCTATTATTTATTCCCACCCATCTGACTGGGTTGCCCCAGCCACTCTAGGCAGCTTCCAACATATAATAAAACATTAAATGTTTTTTAAAACTTCCTTATACAGGGCTGCCTTCAGATGTCTTCTAAAGGTTACACATCTCCTTGGCTCAGTGGGGTTGCATAACTCCACCCTCCAACATTTTCTGATGAAAATAGGGATCTCCTAAAGAAAAGCGGGATATTCCGAGATCATATCAGAAACCAAGGTGGCTTTTATGAATCCAGGGCTATACCTGGAAAATAGGGACACTTGGGGAATCTGGAGTGTCCATGAATTTCTTTGAATTCAGCAGCCTGACTTTCAGATACATTGGTACCTCTGGTTAAGAACTTAATTTGTTCCGGAGGTCTGTTCTTAACCTGAAACTGTTCTTAATCTGAGACACCACTTTAGCTAATGGATCCTCCTGCTGCCACCACCCCAGTGCCGCACAATTTATGTTCTCATCCTGAAGCAAAGGTACTATTTCTGGGTTAGCAGAGTCTGTAACCTGAAGCATCTGTAACCCGAGGCACCACTATACTAGTATGAAAGAAACCCTGGCCAGCTTTCCCCCAACCTGGTACCCTGCATTCAGAGCCGGCCCAGCCCTTAGGTAGACTGACGTGGTTGCCTCAGGCAGCAGAAGCCCCAAAGCAGGAGTCCCATAAGTGCCCCACCTGCCCTGCCTCCTCCACTGCCAGCGCAAAAGCAGCACCAATGTTAGTACTTGTGGAGCACAAAAGAACCTGTGCAATTTGGATAAGATCTCACCCAAAATTGGTACTGATGCCAGCATAGCTTTGCCTCCAGCAGCGGAGGTGGCAGGCGTGGCAGTGGGTAGCCAAGGCAGCACTTCCTGTTTCACCTCAAGCAGCAAAGCATGGCACCCCTGCCTGCGGTTGTTTTGGGGCTCCAATCTTCCCTGACCATTGGCAAATAAAAAATGGAGGGCACCAGTTTGGTGAAAGCTGCCATAGTCCAGGGTGCTATGAACCAGGTTTTGTGGGAGCTAGGGCTGATGGGAGTTGTAGTCAGAGGAACATAGGAAACTGCCTTATACTGAGTCAAACCATTGGTCCATCATACTCAGTATCATCTACAGTACACTGACTGGCAGAGGCTCTCCAGGGTTTTAGGCATGAGTCTCTCCTGGGAGATGCTGGGGATTGAACCCGGCGCCTTCTGTATGCAAGGCTGATGCTTTGCCACTGAGCTGTAGCCCTTGCCCAGCCAGAAACATCTGAAGGGCACCAGGTCGGCCAAGGCTGCTATAAACTACTCGTTCATTCATTTGTGTAGAATAGAGGCAGAAGTGGGCTTTCCACCTGGACCAACACACATTAATTGCTCTTATTTATTTCCTGCTCTTAACCCGAAGGTCCCAGGGCCAGGTACAGCATGAATACACAATATTAAAAACATTTTTAAAAGAATTAAAAACATTTATATGGAGACCCTGCATGCCTGTGCGAAGAAGAAGAAGAAGAAGAAGAAGAAGAAGAAGAAGAAGAAGAAGAAGAAGAAGAAGAGGAGTTTGGATTTGATATCCTGCCTTTCACTCCCTTTAAGGAGTCTCAAAGCGGCTAACATTCTCCTTTCCCTTCCTCCCCCACAACAAACACTCTGTGAGGTGAGTGGGGCTGAGAGACTTCAAAGAAGTGTGACTGGCCCAAGGTCACCCAGCAGCTGCATATGGAGGAGCGGAGACGCGAACCCGGTTCCCCAGATTACGAGTCCACTGCTCTCAACCACTACACCACACTGGCTCTCTGCACCACAATAAGTTATTGATCATGTATAGAGAGTCCTCCACTTCTCTGCCACAGATTCCCCACCCCTGTTCTGTAGAAGTGTGCTGTTATTTTTGTTATTTCTATTGTTATTAAATTATTTTGATTTCAAGTAGTCATCACTGTCTGCTCTCTCTGCATTTATTTTCCCTCTGACCTGACATCTCTATATCTCCTCACCCTCACTCCTCTCTGAATGTATCAACATGCTATTTTAGGATTACACTCCGTGCATCTGATAAATGTGGTACCGGAAAGCTTATGCCAAAATAAAGTGGCTTGTCTTTAAGGTGCCTCAAGACACTTATTCCCATTACAACATATTAACATAGCCACCCTCCTGGATATTATTATTATTATTGTTATTATTATTATTATTATTATAATACAGGATCACAATGAAGAAAGAACTGCTTTGTATGGTAAACAGATTTGTTTTGGCTCTGCTAGTGTTACGCTGGCATTTCCTTCACTCATAAAAGGATAGATTGATGTTCTTAAACTCCCAGAGTAACATGCTTGGGATCATCAGCCTATCAAGGCCCTCTGGTGTCTCTCTGAGCATGTCTGTAGTCTGCATGCTATGTTTGCAGTGTCCTTGTTATGTTACATTACTACACCGCTCCGCAGCACTGGATGTAGGCTGATGCAGGCGGTTCCCTCCCCACACACAGGGCACCAAGCCGAGGGGATGCAAGACAAAACAACAACAACAACATATTTGCAGATACCTTGTTGTTGTTTAGTCGTTTAGTCGTGTCTGACTCTTCGTGACCCCATGAAGCAGAGCACTGCCTCCCACAGTTTGGTCAAACTCATGTTAATAGCTTCTGCAGAGACCTACTCAGTGTTTGGGGGCACCAAATTTTGTCCTTGCTCAGAGTGCCATATTACCAAAGTCTGCTCCTGCTCTCTACCAAGGAACCAGTGCTGGGATGAGAATGACTCTTGGCATTTTAAGGGCATAGCTGACGAGATGCCAAGGTTGCAAATAGCTCTACTTGCTTGTGGAGGGTTAGCAGCTGAACCTAATATTCTTGCTAGTTAGCATGAGAAGGCACTAAAACCACAGAGCTGTATTGCTGACAGGCAGATACTCAAACCATAGAAAATGTAGTGGGTAGAGAGGGCTCTGTGTGATGTCATTTCCCCAAATCTCTTGGGACGGAAGGAACATATCTAACATTTTGTTTCCTCCCCCTTTCCCTTGACCAGCTGTGAGGGCAGACATACCCATACTCCAGTCCCAGGCACAGGCTTGAGCCTGTTTTTACTGTAAATATAAGTATTCTACCTGCATAGGTTTTAATGCTGCTGTAGCTGAAAACCAATGCAAGACTGTTGAGTAAGTAAATTATATTTTAAGCTTACTTTCCAGTCTGTGGTCTGATTTCTTGGTTAAGAGGGGTAAGAAGAAGGGAAGCTTTACTGTGTTGGATTGCACATACTGGGCCAGTGAGAAGTGGTCATAGTGCCAACTCTCTCTGGCCTGCTGCCCATGCTAAGCCTCCAAGAAAGAGGATATCCTATAAGAGCTCTACTGGATCAGGCCAAAGACCTATCTAGTCCAGCATCTTGTTTCCCACTGTGGCCAACCAGGTGCCTCTGAGAAGCCCACAAGGAGCACAATAGCCCTCTCTTGCACCTGTTCCCCAGTGGCTGGTATTCCAAGGTATGCTGACTTTGAGACTGGATGTAGAATGTATATTGTATAGCCATTACAGCTAGTCACCATTAACTTCCATGAATTTATTGGCTCCGTTTTTAAAGCCACCTGATGCAACACGTCAACAACAATATTACATGATTGCCATTTTGTATCCCTGCTGACAGCAGTCGCGAAATTAAAAGACTCCTGCTTCTTGGGAGAAAAGCAATGACAAACCTAGACAGCATCCTAAAAAGCAGAGACATCACCTTGCCAACAAAGGTCCGTATAGTTAAAGCCATGGTTTTCCCAGTAGTGATGTATGGAAGTGAGAGCTGGACCATAAAGAAGGCTGAATACTGAAGAATTGATGCTTTTGAATTATGGTGCTGGAGGAGACTCTTGAGAGTCCCATGGACTGCAAGAAGATCAAACCTATCCATTCTTAAGGAAATCAGCCCTGAGTGCTCACTGGAAGGACAGATTGTGAAGCTGAGGCTCCAATACTTTGGCCACCTCATGAGAAGAGAAGACACCCTGGAAAAGACCCTGATGTTGGGAAAGATGGAGGGCACAAGGAGAAGGGGACGACAGAGGACGAGATGGTTGGACAGTGTTCTCGAAGCTACAAACATGAGTCTGATCAAACTGCAGGAGGCAGTGGAAGACAGGAGTGCCTGGCGTGCGCTGATCCATGGGGTCACGAAGAGTCGGACACGACTAAATGACTAAACAACAACAACAACATCCCTCCTGAAAGAAGGTCCCATCTCGGGCTTCCTTTTTACAACACCACCTGAGTGGAGTTTGCAGTCAAAAGTAGCCAGCGTAGGCACAGCAGAGTTGATTGACACACAAAGGGTGACAAAGTGTTCTGCCATGGATACGCCGCAGCTAGAGGTGATTTTTCCTCTCCAAACTGTTGCTTAAAAAGTGTCCATCATCAGCCTGGTAGAGCACATAGTTTGGAGCCAGAGCATCATTGAGACGACAATGGAAATCTAAATCCTCTCAGCAGGAACCATAGCCCTTCCAGCAGTTGGCCCTATCATTCCTAGTTCATGAGAAAGGTCATTCTCCAAGCAGGGCACATTATTAATATTAAAGGGGTAAAGGGGACCCCTGACCATTAGGTCCAGTCGTGACCGACTCTGGGGTTGCAGTGCTCATCTCGCTTTATTGGCCAAGGAAGCTGGCGTACAGCTTCCGGGTCATGTGGCCAGCATGACGAAGCCGCTTCTGGCGAACCAGAGCAGTGCACGGAAATGCCGTTTACCTTCCTGCCAGAGAGGTACCTATTTATCTACTTGCACTTTGATGTGCTTTTGAACTGCTAGGTTGGCAGGAGCAGGGACCGAGCAACGGGAGCTCACCCCTTCGTGGGGATTCGAACTGCCGACCTTCTGATCGGCAAGTCCTCCATGTATAGGAGCAAAATATCAGTGCAGGGGTGGTTCACTTGTGGTCCTCCAGATATTGCCACCATCCTTGACCAAAGTTGGCTGTGACAGCCAAGGATGATGGGAGTCAGAGTCCAGCAAAATCTGGACGGCGTCAGGTAGCCCCCCGCATATAAGAAAGGTTGCCTTAGAAAGAATAGTCAGCAGGGCAAAGCTACAACATCCCTGCCTGGAAGATAACGCTGGAGCCCTCTACTCTAGCGGGAAGAAATTTCTTCTTAATATTCTTTAGCTCGGGGCGACTTGTAGCCAGACCCTCCGCGCTCCGCTGCAGGCAAGAGGGTACCTGGGCAGGATGAGACCGGGCTCCTCTGTCTCTCCCGCTGCAGCATCATTTGTGAGTTATTCTCTTTCTCCTCCTGCCTCTAGGCTTGCAGAGCCTCAACCCAACCGCAGGGTGCTAACAGCACGTTATTATCCAATCTAGTCTTCCCTGGGCTCAGGATCCGGCTGGCAGAGAGGGGGGAGGGGGGGAGAGAAAGAGAGAGGGAAAGAAGAGGGGCAGGGAGTAATCGGATTGGGAGGGTTTCTCATAATCCCGGCTCGATCTGTTTGTTGCTCCCTCTCCCTCTCCCTCTCTCCCTCCAATATCACTAATGTCATCTCTATTGGCTGCATTAGACAGATGTTCAAAAGCCCCCTCTCTCGCTTAATCTGATCCCTCTGTAATACTTTCACTGCTATTAAAGCCACATGCATCTTTCCCCTCCTCCTCCCCCCACCCCGCCCTATAAGCTTTTACTTTCCCAAGCGGACTTGAGTGGAGTTAGACCGCCTTTTCCAGGCCAAAACGAGATCTGCTGCGCTGGGGAGGGGTGTGTTTGTGTGTGTGGAATCAGACAATCGGATTCCCTCTTCCCTCACATCACACACACTCTCACACACTCCACCCCTCCATCTGTCTATGTTTCAGGAAACGCCCGCAAACAGGGAATGCCGTGGTCCTCTGCCTTTTCTAGGGTACCGCGCAATTGGCACCTTCCGAAGCGACCGGGAGGGGGAGAAGAAGGAGGAGAACAGCCACGTTCGATGGGTTTCCAATGCCTCCCTCTCGTCCAATGGGAATTCCCTCCGGAGAAACCTATGGGAGAGCAGGCATAGTTGGGAGGGGGGGACCAACCAAAAGCTGGTGGGCTGTTTGTTTTCGAGTATTTATTTAGAGAAAGTAGTCAAAACAGTTCTTCTGGCCGGAGGCTGTGGAAAGAAAGAAAGAAAGAAAGAAAGAAAGAAAGAAAGAAAGAAAGATGTTTTGGCTGCGATGCATTCCATGTTAGCCATACTCAGAATACACTCACTGAAATTAATGGACATGGTGAAACTGGGTCCATTAAATCCAGTGCGTTCTACTCTGAGTAGAATTTAGTTGGCTAAAGCCCGCAGGATATGGCAGACTTAAGGGGAATAAATGTGCAAGAATTGGATAGTGCAGAGTCACAACGTCGGATCTGGGGGGAGGGGGGCAGATATACTGACACCCTAATTGTTCGATTACTTTTCTCCCCTCCCTCCCTCTCCCTCTCTCTCCTTGCCCACTTAACCCCTTCGCTCCCCACCAGCTTCGCGCGCTCTTTTCCCATTTGGGTACCATTCGCATCCTTTCCTGGGTCTGAAGCCCACCTTGGGCAGACTTCCACTGGCCTGAGCCGCTCTTCCTGCGGACGCACCGCCTCCACCGATTCCGCCCCATTAGAGAGGTTCCTCCGCAGCCTGGGGGTGGCTTCCCGGCGCAGGCCAGGAGCAGGAGGGGATCTTTGGGCGGAGGGGGCGTCTTCCTTTTCCTTCGCGGCCCGGAGCGGCCGAAATGGAACACAGCTGGGGAGTTGCCATCTCTCCTCCCTCTATGTTGAGGGATTTTTTCCCCCTTCCTCCCCCGCCCTCCCTGCAACTATTGTCCGCCGCAGTTCACTGAACGTGCAAACTGAAAGCAGATGCACCGAAGATAAGAGGCTCTATGGCGAGGGGAGCGGCGAAGGGATTAATTGGGATGATTTACCACTGAAAGAGTAGAAAGAGGGGGTGGGACTACGCGACATAAAAACAAATAAATAAGCGCATTATTATTTTTATTCTGCATATGAGCAGAGAGGAGAGAGGGAATAGATAGATGGATTCCTGCTCAGATCGGACAGCGGTTTTTTTGCGCCGGGACAACGATCGATAAGAGGAGAAATCTTTAAATCAGCGTCGGTGTCAGAACAAATCCAAATAATGCTTCAATTATTTCAATCAATAAAGCATTTTAAGCCCGAAAGATCACATCCCTTTAGTGCATTTTTATTGCGAGCGCCGAAGAGTTTTGTTTTGTAGGGTGGTGCGGCTTATTTCAATTGGGTGGTTTTGGAGTGAATGAGCAGGGGGTTGGGGTTGGGGGGGACACAAAAACAAAAAACCCTACCCGTGACCCTCAAGAACAACAACAATAATTTATTCGGATTTAGAAGATTTGTTATTTAATCGAAGGCTTCTCTCTCCCTCTCTCTCTTTAAAAAAATATTCCTCTAGTTCTCAGTTTTAGATAGAGATGATAGGTAGAGATAGATAGATGATAGATGATAGATAGATAGATAGATACATAGATAGATAGATAGATATCAGCTTTGAAGGACGTTTTGGGTTGGCTTTGGTTAACTATCATCCCCCACCCCTTGTAATCGTATAAGCCCGCATGGAGGGGAGGGCTGGAGATGGGGGGGTCTCCCTCTTAATTCCTCACACACACACCCAGTTCTTTGTATCCAATCAGCAGGTGCATTCTGAGGTCACTGATGGTTGAATGGATTTCCCCTCTTCCTCATCCCTTCTCCGCTCCCCCCCAACTTGTATTCGTCCTAAGTAGATGATACTCGAAACATTTTCCAGGGGTTGTATTTAATTTAAAATAATGATGGGAAGTGGGTGATGGGGAGATAAAATAGAAGTAGCTTGTGCCAACCCAAGCAAAGAGAGATGCGTGCTTGGGAGGAGAGATCCTCTGTCGCTTATCCCGCTTTAAATCCAGAATTGCGCCATCTCTCTCTCTTTCTCTCTCTCTCTCTGTAAACAGTTATATCCCGTTAAAGAGAAGCGACAGAGTTAAAGGAACCAGAGGCATTTCACTCCCCTTTCGCCATCTCTGCAACAACTCAGTGGCTTGCTTGTTTGTAAATCTCCCCCCCCCCAAAAAAAAAATTCCTCCTAACCATTACAAAAAAGAATAATAAAAATCCTCTCCCCTTTGTTGCTTTCCAATCGTCCCGTATGGCTCCATCTGGCTGATATAAACGAATAATCCCTCTTGATACCATTTCTAATCCATTTCTTCTTATTTTTCTCCTGCCCCCCCTCCATCAGAATTGAAAGTGGAGGGAGGGATTAATAATCGTCAAACATGGAAACGACTCCCCCACCCCATTCATCTCTCAAAACAATCGGATCGGGGTTGCTCCGAATTAAACAGATGCCCCGCCGCCCCTCACCCGCTCCTGCGCTCTCACTTCCCATAATTTAATATAAGACGGGGGGGGCGCGGGGGGAGAGAAAGAAGTTGAAAAAGAACCATTTCCCTGTTGTTGAAAATAACGATGACGACGATCATAATAACTGCCGCTGTCCATTTGAGAAAGTTCTACTAAGAAAAGCGACCTATTGATATCCCCCCCCTAAACAAATCAATACTACGGAACATTTAAAACATTTCTGAATCAGCCAGGGGCGAAGCAGACCCATACCCTGCCTCGAATACTTGGGCTGGGTTTTGGGAGAGGACATCTCCTTTAACGCTGAAGCAATATTGTATATGCCTTTCTATTTAGTATCCACTATTTTCCATTAAGCCTTCGTCATTAATTTACTTTCGGAGTGTGTGCGCGCGCGTTCGTGTGTGTGGCGGGGAGTTTTCCAGGAAAGATGAACAGGAGGAAGAGAGTTGTGGTTTTGGGTCGGTGGGGAATCTGTTCTCCATTCTTTCCAGATTTTATTTTCCTATTTTTAGCATTTGGGGGGAATCGTGATTGAGCAAGATTTGGCTATATCTTCCCTTCCCTCGTTCTTCTCTTTCCTATTCCAAGAATCTCCATTGGCTTTGGGTTGGTCCAGATAACACGTCGACTCTTGAATCCTTCTACTTTTCTTTAAAAAGAAAAAGAAAAAAGTTTGCGTTTGATTCTAACGTGTCCTCGCCAGTTCAAGGCCCTTAAAAATAATTTAAATTTTTTTTTATGAACAACGAGAAATTTCTTCTGAAATTTCCAGTTCGCCATATATATATATATATATATATGCTCAGATTATTTCCCTCCTCCTGAATAATAATAATAGAGAAGCCCCAGAGGCTTTCAAAAACCAAATTAAAACAAAAAAAACCCCACCAATCCTAATGATAATCCTAATAATGACAATAATAAATACTGGGGGGCGGGGAGGAGAAGAGAAGGGGGACAGACCAGGCTGTGCCTGTCTCGTCACTAGAAGTCAACGGAGACAAAAATTATAGAGGTGGCTCATTGTTCGGAATGGCGTCCCAGAATAAGAGTTCGGAGAATTGCGGATTCCTTCCCTCTGCTTGTAAATAACTTCGTCGCCGTCGTCCACATTCCCCGGTCAGCGTCCGCATCCTCTGCAGATCTGGCGGAAGAAGCAACTGAGCATTTGACGCAGGAGAGCTCCCGATTAACGGAGAAGCGCCGGACTACGGAACGAACGAGGAGAGAAGGACTCAACTCTCCGCATCACTGCTAAGCCTTGGGTCGTTTCGATTTGATCTGATACCGGGGATTCTTATCTGAAACCGAGTTGGCGATTTTACAAAGCCTGGGAAGGAAGAGAGAAAAGACAAAAGGGGATATACGGGAGGGAGAGTAAAAACACACACAAATAAATCCCAAAAACAAGCGAGCGCAATTTAAGGGAGCCCCTCTCTGATTTGCAGTTCTGAGTTACAAATCTTAAATAGTTGATAGCGCATGAAGAAAGTCTGGCAAGAGGAAATCTGCCAGTGGCAGGCGAATTTAAAATCGGAAATACAGAGATGAATACTACAATACATTAGAAATCGTTTGCATTTCCCAGGGAAGGATATTTCCCATTTCTACCGAACCGACATGGATGGGACACACACTCCTATACGAGCCTAATTATATACCTCTGGTGTGCGTCAAACACCTGTAAGCTAGGAATGCGCGCCTCGCACACTGATCCAAAAGTACCGGTGCACACTGTTCATGGCTCCGATTATGGAGCCCGTTGTCTCTCTACATGTTTTCTCATTCAGAGTAAGGAAGCCATATTTATTTCAGTGGGACTTACTCGTAGGTAAGGAGTGCCCCGAGCTGCAAGCCGGACACATGAACGGTCATTTCAATTTTGAAGCTTCCTTTTTTTTTAAAGGCAGCAAGTCGCCTTTCGGAAGCGCACGACCACTTTGGTCAGGGCGTTCAGAAGATGCCCCTTCCCCAAATTGTTCAAAATCAGGAGTCCTTCCCTTCTGTGGCTCCCGTCCCAACACCCGTTTCCTTCCTCCAACTCCATAATTTCAAAGCGACTTAAGTGCTGGTTCATCAGGTTTTCCCTTTGTCCGCACCAGCTGTAAATAATGGTTTGGAGATTAGCTAATTAAGCCGCATTAATCACTGATAGAAAGGGGATAAATCAAGGCCCTGCGCCAAATCACCCAAACTCTCCCCTCCAGCGCCAAAGGGAGGAGACGGGCAACTCAATCCGGAGCGGACAGGTGCAGTTTCAATTGCTGCTGGAAGGCAAACTCGTCCACTTCGTCTTTCTTTCTTTCTTTCTTTCTTTCTTTCTTTCTTTCTTTCTTTCTTTCTTTCTTTCTTTCTTTCTTTCTCTCTCTCTCTCTTTCTCTCTTTCTCTCTCTTTCTTGGTGGTGGCAAAATCAGATTCATTTATACTTACCGATTGCGCGGCGAAACCCGCCACTTTCGGAAGTCAATTGAAAGCAGAACCATTGGGGGCTGGGGGAGAGACAATATCGGAATATCGACCGGAAGGAAGAGCGGGGAAATTCAGAGATTATTTTCCGCTGCCCAGTTTTGACTCTCAGCCCCAACCCCGGTCCCGGCACATCGCTTTCAACCCCTCATTTCTGACGAACCCTCTATGGAGAGAGGAAAGGCACTGCGTCCCACTTTCCGTGCAGAAGCAGAATTATAAATCTGCCCACCCCCGTCACAAAATGCCCCTGCTTTCGTCCTACCTCCACTTCTCTCACACACATTTTAAAAAATCCGGTCACTGCATTGAATCTCACTGTGTGCTCTCCCCCTCACCGCCCCCCTTGCAATGGAGTCGAGAGAGACAAACGGCGCAAGGACTTTGACCTGGTCGTGCTAGCCTTTCCTTAGCCGCGCTAGGGAGCGACGAGCCAACGGGGCACCTGGGTCAGGACCGGTTCCCAGCAAAGCCAAAAACTTTTGCAGAGAATCCCCCTCCCCTCAGTCCCTTTGCGCCGCAGCTCCTGGGCAGTTTGGATACAGATCTAAACCGCAACTTCCTCTCTGGCGCTCAAGAAATATTTTCATCCCGGTGGCCTGTAGAAAGAAGCACCGGTGCGCACCCCGCGGAGAACCGCTTCTCTCTGCAAGCCCTCCTGGACATCCTTCCTTCCCCGCTGCATCCGCAGCATCAGCAGCCAAACTGAGCCGGGCTCCATCCATCCCTCAAGTGCCCTCCATCCCTCCCGAGGTGCGCACAATACTGTCTGTTTTTCTCTGGGCAGCGCTGCCAAGCGCAGGTGGCTCATTCTCTGAATACCAAACCCTCTGAATAGCGCAGCCTCCCCTCTCCCCACCCCACATCAAGCCTGTCTCCCTTTGATTCTCCCACTCCCTTCCTCTTCCTCCTCCTCCTCTCTCGCTCTCTCTTGGTCAAGAACCTTATAATTAATTTTAAGTTAGTCAATGTACCGTATCATTAAAACAGTCTGGGGGAAAAAGCAGCGCCAGAGAGACACAGGGGAGGGAGGGAGATGATTGGGGTGTGTGTGCAAGGGGGGGGGAGTTCGGGGGTGCGAAGAGATCCACTCACAGAAGAAGAAAGGGGGGGATGGGAGACAGGAGGGTCTATTTGCATAAAGCTTTGTCTTTTGCGTCTGTAGAGCTGCCAAGGGTTATAACGCTAATTGCGCAAGATTAATGTGGCCATTGTTGCGCGCTGCTGGCGACGGTTTTATTTCCCCAAATCTCTCTCTCTCTCTCTCTCTCTCTCTCTCTCTCTCTCTCTCTCTCTCTCGGGGTGGGGGGAGATGCATGCAACCTCCAGACCTGTGGATCCAAGTTGTAAAATCCATAGGATGTGGGTGGGAGGAGGCCCTCTTCCTCCCATAATAGCCCCATCGTTCATATTGAAAGAGCCGCTTTATGGGACAGGTGTTTAAATGTGCTTCTCCACTGGAAAAAAAAAAAGGAGCGACGTTCCGGGGTAGGGATGGGTGGCGGGTGCGCGCTCTGGGTTGCTACATACCGAGTTTCCGAGCTATTATCGTACGCAAGGCTGGATCTGCGCGGCTGGGAAAACCTGTGTAAGAGCGCGGTTTAGCGGCCAGCGCGCGTATTTCAAGGAAACCAGAATGGTGGCTCAGAAAAAGCAGGCGATTAAGAGCGGAGCGATGCTGTCCCTTAGCGGACTGAGAGGCAAATGGACTGTCCGCTTCAGCTCATAAAGTGTGGCTGTGCATGCAGCAGAATTAGGTGGGTTTTGCTGCCCAACCCAGCAGTCTATTTCTCCCCCCCCACACACTAAAATGGGTGGGGTCTCCAAGAGCCGGGGTTTATGTGAGATTCTTGGAGCCAGGCCCCAAAACAGGGATTAAACCACCCCTGCTCGGTTTATTACACCAAGATTTCGGTCAGGACTCTTTCCAAATCTAAGGTACAGGTACCGCTGACCTTTAGGTCCAGTCGTGGACGACTCTGGAGTTGTGGCGCTCATCTCGCTCTATAGGCCAAGGGAACCGGCATTTGTCCGCAGCCAGCTTCTGGGTCAAGTGGCCAGCATGACTAAGCCGCTTCTGACAAACCAGAGCAGTGCACGGAACCGCCATTTACCTTCCTGCCGGAGCGGTACCTATTTATTTACTTGCATTTTGACACACTTTCCAACTGCTAGGTTGGCAGGAGCAGGGAGCGAGCAACGGCAGCTCACCCCATTGCGGGGATTCGAACCCCCCGTCTTACCCAGTGTCAAATTACTAAATAGGCAGAGCAGGCACCTGTCTATGAGACCCACACTTTTTAGGGGCTCTGCAACAACGGATCAAAATATTGCTTTGATCTTTAAAGAAAATTACAATCAAGCTTTGTTAGTTCAGTGTTATCCCCCTGAGATTTTGACTGCCTAGGAGCCTCCACAGGGTTTAATCCAGCACTGATCTTACCTGGAGATGCTGGAGCTCAACCTGGGTCCTACCATCCAATAAAGGAGCTGCCTTATACTGATGGACTTTGGAACATCTAGCTCAGCATGTCTACACTGGCTGGCAGTATCTCTCCCAGGTTCCATATGAGATGTCAGGATTATCAGGCAACTGACTGATTTCTAGACCACCTCTCCAAAGCCAAAACCAGGCTCAAGGTGGGAGGTGTTTGTGGTGAGTTCTGGCACCACCTTTTCTAGAAAAATGGCACTGGTTGCAACCGTAACAAAAGTACAGTGGTACCTCGGGTTACACAGGGACGCGGGTGGCGCTGTGGGTAAAACCTCAGCGCCTAGGACTTGCCGATCGCATGGTCGGCGGTTCGAATCCCCGCGGCGGGGTGAGCTCCCGTCATTCGGTCCCAGCTCCTGCCCACCTAGCAGTTCGAAAGCACCCTTAAGTGCAAGTAGATAAATAGGTACCGCTTTATAGCGGGAAGGTAAATGGCGTTTCCGTGTGCTGCTCTGGTGCCGGTTCGCCGGAGCAGCTTCGTCACGCTGGCCACGTGACCCAGAGGTGTCTGCGGACAGCGCTGGCTCCCGGCCTCTAGAGTGAGATGAGCGCACAACCCTAGAGTCTGTCAAGACTGGCCCGTACGGGCAGGGGTACCTTTACCTTTACCTTTACCTCGGGTTACATATGCTTCAGGTTACATACACTTCAGGTTACAGACCCGCTAACCCAGAAATAGTACCTCGGGTTAAATACTTTGCTTCAGGATGAGAACAGAAATCGTGCTCTGGTGGCAGTGGGAGGCCCCATTAGCTAAAGTGGTGCTTCAGGTTAAGAACAGTTTCAGGTTAAGTACGGACCTCCAGAACGAATTAAGTACTTAACCCGAGGTACCAGTGTAGTCGTAAACAATAAATGAAACATCAAAAAATACACATCCACACCGAACAATTTCCACAACAGTTGGAAGAAGATCTAAAATAGAGATACAAAAAATGACACCCCAGCCCACAAATCTGTTCAGCAGCCTCAGCTTTTGTAGCTGGAGTCAGTCAAGGCCATGACCACCTAGGCAAAGTGCGGAAAGGCCTGCAAGGCAGGAAGCAGGTCTTCCAGGACTTACTGCCAAGATGGATAAAATTTGGGACCTTCTGTATGCTGGCATAGCAAGCCCCGCTGAGGGCGAGGGCAAATGTGCTGTGCCATGGGGGCAGGGGACCCTGTGGGGGTGGACCACATGCCAGAGTGACTGCGTCCCTCCTGGAGCTCAGGCAGCTTGGGACATGACAACTCAAGTGCCCTGCAGG